CACAGTACAGCGCTAGTGAACTAATAAAAATGGAACGCTTGCATAGCACACTATAATGACGTCATGCTGGCAGTACTGCCAGTAAGTTATGGAACGCAGCCTTGAATTTGACGAACGTTGATGTAAAGAAATGGAGTGCGATGGAGAGGGAGAGGAATGTACGGAGCGGCGCGACGCGGCGACACGAGTAAACAACTGCGAATCAGCTGATGAGGCACAACATAACACAAGCCAGTCAGAGGGTGAGGAGGGCTTGTCGTTTACCCGTTACTGTTGCTACTCGCTACCACTGCTGCTGCTGCTGCTGCTGCTACTGTTGCTGTTGCTGTTGCTGTTGCTGTCGCTGTTGCCGCTGTTGCTGTCGTTGATTATGGCGACGAGTAGCTCTGACGGCTCTTGCACCGCGCCCGCGGACTTTCAGCTTTCATCTGAACTGGAGGACGCGTCGAGTCGCTTGAGCATGAACTTGCTCAAGTGCCCATTGTGCCATAACAGCCGTCGAATTTTTTACTGCCGCCAGTGTGTCCAGAACGGGGATTTTATACATTCGAACACCGTTTACTCGGAACGGTGCGTTTGTTTCCTCCTTTCATTGCCTTTCTACAAATGGAGTAACGTGTCGCCGTTTTTTTTTTTTTCATTTTTAATATGCAATCGAGTCCCCCAAGTGGGGATTTTCCAAATGCGTTATTTCTGAGAATACATTTTAATTATCTAGTAAGACGTCTGGAGCGACGGTAACACGCTCGAACCATGGTTATAATTACTGATGATGTTTAGGTTTGCAGACAAACAGACACGGCTCGGACGATTGAAGGCTGCTAGAGCACAATTAGAGGAGAAGTGCACGAAAGCTCTCGAGAGGCACAAGCAAAGAGACAAGCTGGTAAAAAATAATTATCTTTTATTCTGAACTGAAGCTCTTACATCCATAAGAAAATAATATATACATGTTGTTTATACATTCATTTCAATACATGCATATAGGGGAATTTTCAAATCTAATTTCAAATCTAATATTTTAATATGATTAAATAAAAATTATTATAAAAAATTATCATATAAGTCAAACAAATATATTGTGTTATCATCAAGTAGAATATTTTTTTTTTATGCAACATGTTTACTCAGTAATATAATGTTTTATATCTCAAATTTTTGTAATTTCAGATTTGTGATATAAACACTTGTAAAGAAAGAGTAAGACTACTTCAATCTTTAGTAAATGAAACAAGACAGAGCATCAATAGAGGTGAGACCTAAAATTTACAATTGATTTGTTCTATACACTTTTTTATTAATTATTTGATCTTTTTTTTACATATAGGTAATGAACGTTTAAATGTTTTGAAAGACGTCAACTCTCAGTTGACTCTGCGAGTACCACGGCATGAGGATAGAATAGAAAAATTACATCGTTATGTTAATGGTCTAAAAGTTAAACAGGAAAAGCAGAAGGAAGCCGTGGAAAGAAAACGGGAGCAACTAAAGAAAGTTATTAAAACTGCTGCTAAGCAATTAATTCAGTATATTTTTCCGTTATCTAAGATCCAGCCAAATAGAAGGTATCAGATCCTTATCTTAAATATTTCTTTAGAAATTTAAATATACAAGATTTAATATTAAAATTAAAAATTAATTAAAATTTTAATATTTAATTAAAATTTTTAATATTAAGATATTTTTAATATTAAAATTTTAATATCAAATTTAATGTTAAAATTATTATTATTTATAGCTTATGCAACGAGGACAGCGACAGTGCCACTTCAGACATCCTTACTAGTGCATTAGCAGATGCATCAGGTACGTCATATGTTCGAGGTAGATGGATCAGTGAAAAAGAAAGTTCTTTAGAAATCCATCACTGTATAGTTGAACCAACGTTGCCAGCAACGGGAGATTACAGCGCTTACTCTCTTTGGGGTAATTGCATTTATTCATCTTGATTAACAATGTTATGCGTAATTATAAATTGTAATATAAACCATATTATATGTAGTTGCAGCAAATAAAGATGGAGTACCAGGTGCGAACAAAGAAAATGCAATGCACAATCCGGCGTATAATATTAGTGCTGCTTTGACATATGCTACACAACTGGTTAATGTTCTTGCCTATTATGTTAATGTAAAATTACCATACAAACTTACCTGTGGGTATGTATAAAAACTTTTTATACACACACATACACACACACACACACACACACACACAAACTTTTTATTATTTATTTTTTATTATGTGTGCGCGTGTGTGTAACTCAAATAGCACTTGTTCATTATATAGCGTTATTCCTTGTAAAAAAGTCGAAAAATCCTGAACTATTTTGTTCATTATCTAAAACTAAAAATAAATATCGAGGATATTTAGCATTTACTATATATGATAAATGCTAGATATTTTGAATATTTATTTTCAGTTTTAGATAATGAAATGCACAAACACATATTAACATAAGCTGTTTATAAACAGTTTCTTTATCCTACTTATGTTCTTTCAGAGAGTTTTGCGGGAATGAATTGTCGGACCAAAAATTTGCTAGGAAAGTAGCAAGGCTAAATAGTAATGTATTACATTTGTGTTTTACACAAAATACAAAAATAGATGTTTTACATCCCATGCATACATTGCAAAACTTGATACATTTACTCAATACTGAAATTAGTGACCTCGGAAGGTAATTCATGACTTTAACAGACAGAATTAAGTTTATAAAAAAATTATTAAAAATTATGTACTATGTATCATAGAATTGGACCAATGGAAGTTGATCCATCTATAATAGCACAACTTCATAATCAATTAGTTCCTGATTTGGAAAACAGCGATGATTCAGCTTCCGATGAAGAAGACTTGTGTTGGGGTTGGGAGGCTGTAAGTCACACTTCTGTAAGTTATATATGTTTTTATGAGTCTCGAACAATAAGAACATGATTATATATTGTATTATATTCATGTGGTACTATATGTATATAGGTACCAAGTATCGCTTGTCCTGAAATGGCAGTACCTGTCTCTGGAGCGATGATTAGTCAGCAGTCTTCTAGTATGCAAGTGCATCAGAGTGTCGCTGGTGGCTTGGTAACAAGTGCAGCAGCCAGTATCGCATCGATTTGGCGAGGTTGGACTAATAAATAATTTTTTCCTTTTGACTAGTAAGTTTTTTTCTGTGCAGGTATTCTGTACAGGTATTGTATATTCGAATTTCAAGTCAAAGAACAGAAACTCTGAAGAGATGCTTTGAAGTAAATGTAAAATGAAGCGATATTTATATATAATAATATTTATATATTGTGGAGATATGGAGATGTGATTTAAAATCAACATGTAAATATGTGACTTTCTTAACTTACATTTAACACTCAAAATAGTTCAAATACATTGTGACAGATTCTGTTAGATCTAATATCTAATTTAGCTCGAATTTAAAAAAAGATTAGAAAACTTATGGTTGTTTTAATAAATTTACAGACATTTTATATTGTACCACGAAAATAATAAATTGTAATATATTAAAATGTATATTAATAGTATGTTAATATAAATGTATGTAAATGTATATTAATAATTTTATAAAACAGGATGTATTAGCACAGGCATATATTTATATAGAATTAATTATGGTAGAACATATAAGTATGCAATGACTGCCTTTTCTATGCTCATCGTATTTGATGTGATTATTCACATAAATAAGATATGCTTCTCTATATTAAATATATCATTAACATATTTGACATCTTATGTAAAAGTTTTTGGGTATCTTGAGTTTGTAACTAATTTTTTGCTTCTGTTCGAAGAAGAAAAACTTTAATTGCAATAATATAATGTAAAGTGTTTGTTGCTAAATAATGCGAGATAAATCCTGTTTATTTGATATATTCTAAATAAGTACTAAAATGTTTCAGTAAACTGTGAATAATACATATATTATTTATTATATGATTTATTATGTAATATATTTTCTACTATAAATATAGAAATAGATTTTATTAAATTTCATACTTAATAGTATAAGCGAAAAGAGAATTGTGAAATATATTAACTGAATTTGATTATATTAACTATATCAAAAGAGCATCAATAAATAATATTGTGGTCATTGTAGAATATATGATCATCCATAAGAAACTAGCACACATTCTACAAAAGTAGATAGTTAATAATATGATTTTCCAGATTAAATATTTAGTCTATTTAGTATACAATAATCTTATTTTATTTTTATATAATGCATTGATTTTCATATTTCTTATATTAAAAAATAGTAATTTATTCTTGGTCATTTGATGGAGAAGACTAGGATGAAAATAATTAATAATTTGTCGATGAATATAAAATCAATGAATGTAAGCATAATCTATTTCATAATTATGATGAGAAATGCTTTCTATAAAACATCATCAAATGTTGAAATTCCGTTATAAATTTCCTAAGTCATTTTTTGAATAGTACAAAAATAAAGACGCGAAAAAACGACATTATAAATAGATAAATACTTTTTCATTACAATACTAATAATAATTAGCATAATTTTCATATATCCAATTTTCTGAATAATGTTACAGAATTTTATAAACATATAAGTAGAAAAAAATAATTTCACAAATAGACAGATTACAATATTAAAATGTTGACAAACATGAATTCACCTGATATATGATTTAGCACAAATGTATATCTTATTTAATAATGTATATATGTATATGTATGTATGTGTGTAATTATTATTTTGACCATTGTTGTTTGTAGCATTAAAACAAGCGTTACCAATATATTTCAAATTAGATTAGATTTAAGTTATATATATTATAGAAACGATGGCAGTGGATTACAAAGCGCAACAATTTGAATCACATTTTTTAAATTGTAAAAATATATGAAATAGTGTAAGTATATTACATATGTGGATTGTACGTGAATGGGCGAATATACAGTTTTTTATCTTATTATCATAAAAATGGCTATGTTTTATTGAACAAAGATATATTGTGATATCTCGAGTAAACTAGGATCTGTTTTTTTATTGTTATTGCTATTTAAGTAATATCAATAAGAAAAATTGCATACTTTTTAAATATATCGATAATAATATATCCATACCATTTTAAATCTTTTGTATCTTCTTCAATATTTTGGAATAAATATGTAAAAGTAATCTGTAATACTTTATTCGTAAATATATATATATATATATATATATTATATATGTACACACGCACGCACGCACATACTGAGCGAATACATAAAATGAATTGGCACAGGTAACTCCAAATAACAAGTTGCTGGATAAATAAGTCTTATATAAAAGGAAAAGGAACATATAAGCATTGGTTTCTATTTTTATGTAAAAAGCAAAAAATTTATTTTGTTTATGATCGAATAAAATTATTTTAACTGCGTCAGAAGAGCAATACAACCAAATATAGTATAAAAAAATTAATTATGCCTTGAAAAGCCTGTTATGCGTATAATCATACAACAGTACCAAATAAATACATCAATTTCTACATTTAATATATATTATGTTTTTATGTAAATACTAAATAATGTAAATGCTCATGTTTTCATTAAAATAAAATATAATTCTACATATATCAACAAAATTATATGCACAAAAAAAATATGTAAAATTTTAGAATAGCCTTTTTAACTTCACGAGCAATACTGAGTTTTCTAATTTAATAAGAGTAGCATTATAATATTTAATTCTTTACATAATTATCGATTATGTAACATAATTTTATTTCAAAGTTACAACCATCTCTTTGCTGAGATTAATAAAATTTCATTAAAAACATTCATTATGAAGATATATTTCATGTATAATTCAATATATAAAAGAAATAAAAAATGTAGGTATGAGATATATATTAAAAGAATTTTTCAAATCTTTCTCCATTCTATCCTTAGCTAAACAAAAAAAAACGCTTTGTACGATGTATTCCTTTAATATCACACAAAATAAATGTGACAACTTAAAAAACCTGACACTATTCAATTACCACTCTGCACTGGTTTAGTCTCTGCTTGTATAGTACTCCATTATGATTCTTGATAATAGATATCTCATTTTCACCATTTTTGGATTGGCCAGTCTATTTCAATTTCGCATATACGAAATCGTATACGTATACGTATTGTATACACTAACTGCTCTGTGAATTCTGTAATCACATCATTATATAGTACTTTAATTTTTGCACACATCTTTTTCTAAAAATATAACAGTCACGTACATATTATATTGTTTTTTTATGAGTATACACATATTTTTGACATTCAGTATTTTTGAATTAATTTGGTAATATTACATATATAAATAATTTAAATATTACGTATATAAATAATTTATTTTTTTATAAACAAAAATAATTGCATAGTTTTAAATTAAATATGAAATATTTTTATATTTAACTTTTTTTGTCTAAAACATCACAGAATAATGATTGATATTATATGACAATCTAAATTCAAATTTTTTAAAATTCTTAATTGCTAATTTGAAATTTTCTTGACTCCAAAATTATTAATCTAATTTTCACTATTTTCAACATTATTTATATCTTTGCGATACAAATATTTCATTTTGATTAATAAAACTATAGCTTGTTATATCGCTATATGGTAATAATACACTTTATAATATATTTAGTACAAATAAATAATGTAAATTATATAAATGAAATATCAATAATTTATCATCTATAAATATTAATAACTACTGTTTCTTTATATTAAATATAACACGAAAATATATTAGTGTTTGATTATTATCAAATATCAATAATAATAGAAAAAGGAAATATTATATTAGTTAAATGGAAAATCTTAGATTATTTAAAAACGTGTACCATAAAAGTTGTACCATTAGATATCTATTTAAAGATTCAAAATTCTGTGTATACTTTTCTTAAATGATTTTAATTCTGTATTTTACATTTTATTTTCTAAAATAAAATATTGCATTTTCATCGTTAATATAATCATCGTTTAATCATAATTATAAAGTGGTCTTCAGATAAATTAAATAATAGAGTTATATAAATATTATTTGAAAATATTTTATCAAACAAATGTTATATGGACAAATATTACGTGGACATCAAACATTTATATCTTATATCAGCTAATTATTAATAACATCAATAGCATATTTCTAGGGAAAACGTATTTTAAATAAAAAATAACGTATATAATATTAATACAAAAAAACGTAGTCTGAAATTTTCATTAAGAGCTATGTCATTAATTCAAATTACTTTGTTCTTTTTTTTTAATGGAGATAATAATTGATAACTTTATCACACATGCTTATTGCCATCCTGTTATACGAATATTTTGTAATTAATTACAATGATATACTATGGCTAACACATATATAATCTTTTTATAAAAAAGAAAGTAGAACTCGCGGAATATCCGCATTCGGTATCTATTCTATTTGTGTAATAGACCATTGTCACTTTTGCTGTTATCCGATTCTTTTTCGAAACACTATAAAAAAGTCACATTATTCAAAATGGTATAATCCTAATTTGTTGCGATAATATAACATAATAATTAACAAGGTATTTTATATTTAACTAATTGCTTAAAGAAATAGATAAAGTGTAATCACACACGCTTACTTATGAAAAATAAAAGATTTGTTCCCATCAAATCATTTTAATTGCGTATTATGTACAATAAACATAGACAGGTATTGTACAATTATGTCGACGAATACAATGACTATAATTAATATATCTAAAATAATGTATCACCGCATTTAAACCGCTGAAATTCTGCAATATACGACAGGCGCTTATTGTAAGACCTTAACTCTTTTTTTTATTTCCTTAACTCTGTATGATTCAAACGCCGCATTTGAGAATAGCAATATATATAATTTTTACTTTGTCCTACAATTAAATCGGAAAAAGAAAGATTAAGTAGAAGCTGTGATATATCAAAACTTTAATAGTTGTTATTAGCTTGGTCAGTGGGGATCTCTATGTCCCTGGCAGACTTGTGTTCTGATTCAATAAAAGAATGAGGAAAGGCTGAAAAAACTTTATAAAAAGATTAAAGAATAATTCGTAATAGATTAATAAAGAGATAATGTACAACATTTATTTTATTCCAAATTCATCAAGAAGATTTATAAGATTTAGAAAAATTAAATGAATAATTGTTTAATCAAATTTCTGATTACGATAAAAACATGTGACAACGATGATTCATTAAAAAAAATAATAATCAAATAGATATTCGATAATAATAATCGAATAAATATAAAAAATGAAAGAATCTTTCAAGTGTGTTGCATTCGTGAAACATTAATATAATAGATAAATATTAGAGAAAGATATTTATTTGATATTAATTTTTGCAAAATTTTAAAAAAGTTAAACACAATATCATGTAAACACAATTAAGATTTAAAATGATTATATAATAATAATAGAATATGTACGATATTACAATTTTTTAACAATAAAATTAATAAATATGAGTTTCCCATAATCTTATAATTAATATTGTAAATAACATTTAGAGCAATTATAAGATCACAAAAAATAAATGCAGTATTATAGTTATTTCATTACTTCGATTATATCATTTGAACTTGATTGATACATAATTGTATCTAACAGTGACATTAATAAAACACTAGTTTTTGTTTTCATGAAAGTATATATTTTATACAATTTCTCATCTTAATAGTCCTATTCTGTAGAATACAAATGTTAAAATGTTTGAAAAACATTGGTAGTAATCGACAAGCACATATACAAATTACACATATAAGTTTTTTTTACTACACGCGCGCGCGCGCGCGCGCGTGTGTGTGTGTATGTGTGTGTGGTGTGTGTGTGTGTATAATTACATAAAAAAGCAATCCTTGCTGTTTTAGTTAATGATTATATTTAGTATAATTCTTTCTAATTTCATGAAATATTTGGCTCAATAATGTTGATTACTTATTGTGCAGAATAGGACTATATGTAAAAAAGATTCATTGTTACAGGAAGATAATAATTCATGTTAAAATTCTAATTCAAATCTTTACAAAACAAGTGGCTTACTTTAATTATTTAAATAATCCCATATTATATTGTAAAATATTATTAAATTAAGATTATGCCACGAAATATAATTTTTCATTTAAAAGCATATCTGTACAGTCCTATGGATGCAATATTTGAATTGAAACTATATACCATTAATAGGTATTATACTAATAGGTATTATACCTTTGTCACTAGGTGAGCCACAAAAGCAAAGGGAGATATTCAGCTATTAAATTATTTTTAAGTTTATAGTTATATAGATACACTCTATATAATATTTGTAATTAGACTTCAATCATTTTGAGAAATTATAAAGTTTTATATATATCTGTAATTCACAATCTTCGTCTTGTAAATCTTGAAAATCTAATACTTTTTTAAATAAAATTAAGAAACATATTATTACGATATTAATGATTGACAGGTCGCGAAAAACTACGAGATTTTTTACGATAAGTCACTCTACTCCAATGATTTGGGATGCATTTATTTCTTCATTATAACTAATAGAAGAAAAGACTTGCTCAGATTCAGCAAAGATGATTGTAACTGTACCACCCTCCCCTCCCTCTACACACATCTCGGCATTATTCGTCCGAGAAAACTCATCAACCCCATAAACTTTCGTGTTAGATTTAAAAGAAAAAATTTGAAGTACCATCGAGATATATTAGATAGTATCTTCACAATTCTATTTAAGAGACATTGTTAGTAAAAATAGAGAGTTAATTCGTTCTCTGTATAAGATTATATATTTATTTCTAATATATTACTTTAAAAAAAAAACAGATGATAAATTGCGCATTAATTCTGTTAGTTTCAGGATATTCCACTTTATAACCAGAAATGGTAATGTATTTTGGTACATGTATACTTTATTGTATTTACGAGGTTGGCCTTGATGTATAGTTTCCACTTTCTTTTCAAAAACATATTTTCATATGTGTGAATTATAAAATTTGAAGATAAATAGGTTAATGTTTGATATGCGTTATTTCATTAATCACAAAATGATTTGCGCGCGCGCGTGTGTACACATATTTGTGATAACATATATGTTTTACTTTCGATTGAATTGTATACAATATGCTTGAATTTTGTACATGTGAATGTATATATGCGCGCGCGTAAGTTCGATAATTATTGTATTTCTGAATGTACATTAAATATTTTAATTATTATAATTATTTTTAATTCTATTCTGTATTTAAAAATAATTTAATTATGATTGAATAGTCAAATATAAAATGTCATATGAAAAGTTTACAAAATAACATTAATAGGAAACTAAACTCAAGGCTTCCTTGCTAAGTATTATAACTTTTCATTTTTAAAATTACTTGAAGGAAATATTAATATTAATAAGAAAATATTAATACACTATTTTTCAGATAACT